AAGAATTGCTGGAAATTCTAGATAAGCTGATTGTAGAGGGGAATTATCTGCCAAACAAATCTTCAATGTGAATGAAACTTCCTTATTCTGGAAACAGATGCCTGAAAGGACTTCCACCTATAAGGAGGCCAAGTCAAAGCCGGGCTTCAAGGTTTTTAAGGACAAAATAACAGTCTTACTTGGGGACAATGTTACAGGCTACAAACTGAAACCCTTCGAGATCTGGCACAATGAGAAGCCCAGGACCTTAGAACATATGAATAAGCACACACTGCCAGTGGACCACAGGAGCAATAATCAGTCATGGATAACCCAGCCCCTCTTCCGAGGTGCCCTCCCAAATTGCTATGGCAGCACATGGAGAAGTACTGTTTGGAGAATAACTCACCTTTCAAGGTTTTATTTGTTGTTTATAATGCTCCTATACATTCTCCTTCTGTTAGTGATCTTCATCCTAATATCAAAGTGGTGTTTCTCCTTGTCAATACTATATGTTTGATCTAAGCAACGGATCAAGAAGGCATACCGGCTTTTAAGGCCTACTACTTGAGGAGGACCTTTGCACAGGCTATTGTTACAGTGGGGGAAGACACTGATGCAATTCTGGAAGGATTGCAATGTCTATGACTGCATCAAGAGCCTTGCTTGGGCTTTGGGTGATGTCCCCAAGGAGCAAATGGATGGCATCCAAAGGAAGACACCCAAAGGTTCATCTATGACTTCAGAGGATTTGCCAAGGTTAAGGAAGTTGCAGAAATCAATAAGGCTGTGGTTGAGATGTCAAATGACTTTAACCTTGCTCTGGATGAGAATGACATGGAGGAGCTCTCAGAGGTGGTTCCTGAGGAACTGCCAAAAGAAGAATTATTGGAACAGGAATACACAGCTGGAGACTGGGCAGGGAAAGGGAACCTGCAGAAGATAAAGAAGAACCCCTAACAAAATTCACAGTGAAAGGTTAGCAGAAGCTTTTTCAGACCTCAGCAAGTTCCTTACAAAGTTTGCAAACTTGACCCCAACATTGTAAGGTTTTCACTAATAGAAGAACATACATGGTGCATTATCTGCTCACAAGCAGAAAATATAATGAAAAAAAGAAACAAACCAAGCAAACCACCATGGACATATTTCTGAAGACACCTCCTCAAGAAGAGCCTCAGGCAGGTCCTCCAGGAGGTATTCCAGAGGAAGGCATTGTTATCCTAGGGGACGACAGCTCCATTCATGTTATCGCCCCTGAAGACCTTGCAGTTGGACAAGATGAGAAGGTAGAAGACAGTGATATTGATGATCCTGACCCTGTTAGACCTAGGCTAATATGTATGTTTTTGTCTTAATGTTTAATTAAAAAGTTTAAAAAGTTAAAAAAAAATTTTAAAAATTGAAAATAAAAAAAGCTTATAAAAAGAAAGAAAATATCTTAATACAAGACTACCACGTGTTGGTGTTTAAGCTAAGTGTCATTACAAAAGAGTCAAAAAGTTAAAAAAAAATTAAAAATTTATAAAGTAAAAAACAATAAGCCTGGGTTAATATATTATTGAATAAAGAAATTTTTTTTGTAAATTTAGTATAGCCCATGTACAGTGTGAATAAAGTCCACAGCAGTGTACAGTAATGTCCTAGGCCTTCACATGCACTCACCACTCACTCACTGACTCACCCTGCAACTTCCAGTCCTGCAAGCTCCATTCATGGTAAATGCCCTATTTTTTTATTGTATTTTTACTGTTCCTTTTCTATGTTTAGATAAACAAATACTTATCTGTGTGTTACAATTGTCTACAGTATTCAGTATAGTATCCAGGTTTGTAGCCTACGAGCAATAGACTATACCATAAAGCCCAGGTATGTGGTAGGCTATCCCATCTAGGTTTGTGTAACTATACTCTATGATGTTCACACAACAACAAAACCACTTAATGATGCATTTCTCAGGATGTATCCCCATCATTAAGGGATGTATTACTGTATTTGTCCTCTTCCCATGTAATACAAAAGGTTTGAAGCACTTTGATACAATCTTCCACTTCCCAATCCCCCTGCTATTGTTGTGCTATGTATTTAATTCTGTATCAGCTTATCAGCATAAATTCTTTATACAATTCATGTGCATTTTGGATTTATGTATATATGGATATATATTTACAACTTTTTGACTTATCATTCCGTCTTCTACATAAGAGGCTTCCATCTGGGAACACTTTTTACTCCTCAAGTACATCCTTTTAGAATTCTTGTAATAAGATGTGTGTTGGTGGCAAAACTTCCTAATTTTTATTCTTTCTGAAAATGTCTTTGTTTTACTTTAACTACTAGAAGATTCTTTTGCTGGATAATTCTAGTTTGATTGCTATTTTCTCGTACATTCAAAAACTTCCACTGTCTTCTGATTTTTATTGTTGCTGTTCAGAAGTCCATTCTATTCTAATTGCCATTCTTTCATAGATAGTCTATTTTTCTCTGGATGCTTTTAAGATATTCTCTTTCTTTGGGGGTTCTAAAATTTTACTGTGAAGTTTCTAGGTGTGTATTTCTTATTATTTACCCTGATTTGGATGGATTGAATTCCTAAATATGAAGATTGATGCTTTTCATCACTTCTGAAAAATACTTAGCTATTATTTCTTCAAACATTCCATCTCCCTCATATCTCTCTTCTCTTCTTCTAAAATGCTAAATATTAAAACATGGCAGTTTATCTTTTGTGTCTCCTAACCTTTCCTAAATATTTTTCATCTCTTGTGCTTTATTCCAAATATTTTCTTTGGACCTATCTTTCAATTTATCAATTCTCTTTTTCACTACATCTAATCTACCATTAAAATCTATCCACTGATTATTTTTCTCTCTCTTTATCTAGTAACAAGTTCCAAAGTAGGTAATTTTCCTCATTGTTCTCTATTTGGTGGGCTGGCAGGTTTATGTTTAGTTTACCCTAACATACTCAGCCTGTGTGAGCCTTTGGGTTCCCAGCTATATCTGAGGTCTCCCCTTATGCATCCCACTTGGGATAGAATCCAGCAGTTTTTCTCCTTTCTCCAGTCCCTTAAGGGGCCATGGAAATCAAAACTCAACTTCACTGGGGTTTCGGAAAATCCCCTCAAAATAAATGTGTCTTCAGTAATCTGTTTACCTGTTTGGATCCTTTCCTTCCTACCAGCTCATTAGATCATTAGTACATTTCAGAATTTTTTTTAATCCTGAATTTGGGAATTTCACTGAGAGGGTAAGTCAGGATATCTTATGCACTATTGTTTCAGAAATAGAAAACTGGTTTGTTTTAAATTGGGAATAAGTGTAGATACCAACTCTAACATGGATTCCAGATTTTTTTTTAATGAACAATTGAAGCAGACATTGGACATTCATAATGTATAAAAGTTGCAAATAAATGCATATAGTATAACCCATTTTTGTAAAAATAAATAATAAAAATATTTGAATGCATATTTGTACAAGTAGATGGGCATAGAGAAAGATATACAATGATGCATACACAATTAATTTGATTACTTCAGAACAACTAAGAAAAACAAGATAGAGGGTAGAAGAAAATAAGGGAAAAGACTATATAAAGAGGGAATATATACAAGTTAATAAAATGTACAATAATATTTTTCCAAACATGTAAAATTTTAATCAGCCTATGGGCAGTCTAAAAGTAATAAGACACACGTGTTGATACTTTAGGTATTACCTTGTCCAACAAAAAATGGATCGACTTGATGATCTTGCACAGGTTTTTTAAATTGCCACCTAGGTAGCCCTGAGTGACAATAAACCCACAGCACTCTCTTCTCTTTCTCAGACTCAGTCCTGAACCACCTCCTCTGCCTTATTCTACACTCTACGTTCTAGACCGCTCACAGTACCTGCCTTGGTCTGCTCATGACCTTGGAATTCTTTCGTTTCTGACTTTGCCTTGAGTCTTAATCCCAAAGTTCAATTTTGTTGAACTTCACTGTGGCTCAGCTTCTGCATCTGGACAGGGCACCTCTAGTATAGGAGAGAGACAGCTAATATATGTTTCAGGCACTGAGTGAGTGCCAGCTGTACATGATTGCATTTGTCTTTACAACAACTCTGTAAGGAGAAGTTCAAATGCTGAGAGAAAGCATCCTTGGGCTGTCTGATTATGAGGGAGTGAAGGGAAGTCATCCTGAGGAGGTGATAATGAAGCTGAGCACTAAAGAATGGGTAGGAGTTAAACCGGTGGCTACATAGGAATTGAATCCAGGAAACTCAGCGTGTTGAACTATGGTTCAACACTAACTTTTTTAATGGGAAAGTAAATGATATAGTTATTTTTTTTTAATTACATTACAAATTTGTCCCTAAAGAGCCAATATTTGGGATCTCATCGAGCTTGAGTCTCTGACCAAATGGTCCTGTCAGTGCTGCTTTTGGAAAGACCCAAGACACATCTTCCATAAAGAGGAGATAACATCCACTCTATTTTAAAATTATCACTTCTTTTCTGGTTGCTTTTAGGTTTTATGTAATTTTTTGCTTAGACGATAGAGCAAAATAAACACTTAGGAAAAAGAATATTTTCTATGGATTTTAAGAGATGTGAGAGCATGGAAGAAACTAGAACTTCAATCACCTAATGGTGAGGTGGTACAAAAAGGTGAGGTGTTTTGATGGAAGTCATTATAAAAGATATGAAGTATTTCAAAGTTTGAACATATTAGAACTTAATAATTTATCATCTAGATTTACCATCTGAATGATGGGGTTTAGGACATGCTATCCCAAAATATGGTACCTTGGCATACTGAATATTTTAAGCTGAAGGAATTTGAGAAACAGCAGGTGCAGGAAGGACTGCCTGACCTTCCCCTAAACCAAGCCATAAAACCCTCATGTGAGAGGTGCCCTCCTAATAACCAAAAGAAAGTAACATTCTTATCTTTAAAGACACAGGGACACAGTGAGGAAGTCAGATGAAGAGGTCTTGCTAAGTTTTCTCCAGTTTAGGGGAAGGTAGCTCCTACCTTTGTCCTATCACGTTCTTTCATGACTCTCCACTTGTCATCAAACCCACCAGCATAAAACCACTCAGGCTTAACCACTCCTTCAGGTCTTCATTTCCTTTTTGAGGCTCCAGTGCCATGCAACATTAAATAAATGTGTATGCTTTTCTCTTGTTAATCTGTCTTTAGTTACAGGGCCCCCAGCTAAGAACACAGAAGGACAGAAGAAAAAGATATTTTTCCTCCCCAACATGTCCAATATCATAGTTACTAGCCACACATGGCTATTTCAACTAAATAAAATTAATATTAAATTCCTCACTCTCATTAGCAATAATTAAAGGGCTCAATAGACATTTGTGGCTAGCAGCTAGTGAACTGGGCAACTCAGATTTAGAACATTTCCATTATTGTAGAAAGTTCTATTGGACTAAGCTGAGAATTATGACTCAGAAAAGCCCTGAGTAGTGTCCTGCCACACCCATACAGATACAATCCCAGTGCAGGTCGTGATTGTCTAAATTGAAACATCTTACACAGAAATTCCATCCACTTCAGTGAGCATTTTATCGAATCACCTTCCATGTGCTAGGCATTGAACAAACCACTGAGGGAACAGAGAAACAAACTAGACATGGCTTCTGCCTTCAGGAAGCTTATAACCTAGAGAGGGAGAATGACATGACATCTGCTTCAGGGGCCAGAAGAACTCAGGAAACTTTTCCTTAAGCATCAATCCTTCCGAGGCAAGAATTATAAAAGGTACTACATTCTAAATCTCCAATTTTAGTGTTGAACTGATGGGTTTTGGACCTCTGGAGACAATGAAATCAGATCTGCACACTGTGACGACACAGGTCTCTAATAGAGAATCCAAGACTGGAAATTTTTAAAGCTTTCTCCGCCGCCCCATTTTGAGTATAGAATGCAGCGTGCTGGTGTGGTGTTGGGTGGTGCAATGTGGTTCAGTGTCGTGTGAAACTAGGGTAAGTAGGCTCGTCTCAGACTATTTCCTCATTTTTAAAATGAGTGAGTCTAACTGCAAGATAATCCATTTTGCTGATTAAAAAAAGGATCTTGACAAACAGTTTATATATATTTCGATCTGAAAATATTACTAATTTTACTAATCTGGCTGGACACTGGGCCCTCACCTGGGGCCTGTGGCAGGGCGTCTGTGGTCACATCAAGGAGTGAGGACTCCCGAGGGAGGAGAAAGAGCTCCACAACGTGGAGGAGCCGCAGCCCTTTGCTTCGAGCCTATTGTGACACATCACAGTTGTGGGTCCCTTTTGCAGACCTATATGTTATGTTAATTAGATAATCAATTCTTCCAAAACGGACAAGTGGTTAAAAAAAATTCTGCCAAAGAAAACACAGACTGAAGATAATGCAAATAATTGCAGCTCTATCTAGGCTAAACCACATGAAATAATCAACATTTCTGCATTAACAAAATAGCAGTTTAATGTAATTCAAACTAGCTCTTGTAAACAAGGAAATACCACTACTTCAAGTGCCAGCCGGCCACACTATATGATAAAAACAGTGACTAGTAAGATTTAATGGAAAGAGAACCCAAAGAAGGTGAAATGATCAAGAAGACCATTTGAAATAGGAACATAGATCCACCCCCCCCTTTCACTATAATCCCGACTCAAGGGTAACAAAATCGATACAAGTAACCAAAAGCATTTGTACCCCCACAAAATATTGAAATTTTAGAAAAAATTATAAACACAACAAGTATATATTGTGCCTTAAAATAGTAGCTATTGGTGGAATAAAGACATCTTATGTGACTTGTTGCCTTCATCTTCACGTCTTTTTATATTTATATTTTATAATGAACGTAACGTATTAGCACAGCAGTGCTGATCGGGACACACAAAGCTATGTGGCGATGACGCCGGCTCTCCAACCACAGGTCCTCAGCGCAGCTTTGATGGGCATGGCTTGTGTTCTACTGCCACCTGGTGGCGGACATGCTGTGAGCACGCCTTTGGGAACAGTGGGGGTTTCTGGTTGGATCCAAGAACCCAAAGAACCTGAATTCTCAGGACAGAGTCACCTCTTGCAACAGCACCTGCAAAAATTCAAGACTGCAACTACTCACAGCAGGTAACCTCACCTGTCTGGATTTACTGATTCCTCCACAACTGCTGATGATTTTCCAACTCTTGCTGAACTTCGAAAACACCACCAGTTCCAAAAAGTCTATGATATTAATCTAGTCACTGTACATACTTTACTTAGCTTCCAGACCCTTTCTTTATTTTCATTTTTGGGTTCCATAAAGAGCTGTAAAATCTCACAGAGTTAGTCCTCCCTTCAATGTTTCTGTCACATTGCATACATGTCTTTTACAGTATTTATCAGGATGGGTTGTTTTGGTTTGGGTTTTTTTCTTTAACTTTTTATTTTGAAACAATTGTAGATTCATAGTTAAGTTTTTAAAAACGTTACAGGAAGGTCCCGCACATACTTCTCTGCCTCCCACTATGGCAGCACCTTACAAAACTATAGTACACGATCAAAACCAGGAAATTGACAGCATGCAACCCACAGTTTGTTTAGATTTCACCAGATGTACACGCACTTCTGTGTGTGTGTGTGTGTGTGTGTGTGTGTGTGTGTGTGTGTGTGTGTGTATCTTTTTGTGTATTCTATCATTTTATATTCTCTGGTTCCTACTACAGTGCCTGAAATATAGATGACTTTCCTTATATGTTGGTGAGGGAAGGTGGAGAGGAAAAAAGAAAGAAAGGGCAAAGGAATGGACGGAAAGAAGGAACCGTTGACAATTAATAAAACAAATCAAACAACTGATAGAGTCAATGTAGTACTTTTTAAAAAGTTATGCTTAGGTGGATTTTCTTAACAGGGTAAACACCCAGCTTTTTCCTCAGAATTGTAATCATTTTTTAAAAAAATATTATTGCCCAGTAGATCATTCAATATACCAGTCTTCAAGACAGCCACACAAGTGACATTCATACAAATGACAAAATCTCTTGGAGGTTTTGACTGCTTTTCAGATGGCTGCTGAGGCCTTAGCAAGCGCTTTTTCCTTTTCTTTATTGTTTCTGAAGCTATTTCCAGAAGTGCTGCTGAAGGCCTGTTTTACTTCTGTGGGCAACTTCAGTCTCTGAGCCCCAGTTTTTCCATCCCCCAAATTGGTGAATGTCCCTCTAAGAAATGATATTTTACTAATTCCATTGTTTTATGGTATCAGAGCTTTCTTTTAGAAATTGCTGTTTTTGTTACATATCAATGTAATAAATATTTGCCTGTAATGAAAATACCAAAAAAAGGTATGAAAAAAGAAGGTTCAAATCACATATAATCTCATCTACTGATGATACAGCATGAATTTTTTTTAATTTTTTTTACTTCAGCATATTATGGGGGTACAAATGTTCAGGTTACACATATTGCCTTTGCCCCGTCTGCATCAGGGCTTCAAGCGTGTCCATCCCCCCGACAGTGCTCACCGTACCCATGGAATCTGTGGTAGGTTCTTGGACTTTTTCCTCAGCATTACACCTGAGCTATGTTTTTGTTTTACATCCGAAACAATGCATCTAAGCCGTAGTCCATGGTTTCTCCCTGGCCTCTGCCAGCAAGCAGGACCTCAAGCCAGTGGCTCTCCCCTGGGTGCGATGCCGGCCGGGAGAGTCCCTGCCCAGGATGGCAGCCTGAGCTGGGGGCACGGCCCTCCTATGGGAGGAGGGTTGTCCCTCAAGCACATCGATCTGGCCCTGAAGGCACACACAGCTCAGTAGGCTAGATCATAAATATCCCTCCTGTGCCCCGGGGCAATACCATGGAGACCTGGGTGCAGGGGATCTGTTCTGCAGGCCTGTTCCCTGCACTCCAAAGATCAATCTCTGACCCCGCCAGGGAGAGGAGTGCTGGTCTCAAGTCACCCGTGGGATTCCCAAGCTGGATCAGTGCCTCTCCACCTCAGGATCTGCCCTGCTCTCCTGGAGTCACCAGGCAAGCGGCACCTGTGAGGGCAGGCGGGTAGGGAGCTCACAGTCTGAGTACCCCTCAGTCCACTGTAGGGCCCCAAAAAGGAACGATCCATTCCCTGCAGATGCCTCCAGGTGGTGGCTAAATTGTCTCTCTGGGCAGCCATGGGTAGGGAAGGGGGAGGGGAGGATGAAGCAATATGGCTCCTGCCGATCAGCTTGGGTCTGGGGGCCAGGAGGTGCCCTGTCCGCAGGAGGCTCACCACTCACTGGCAGTGGCCGTCTCTGTGTTAGTGTTGACAGGTTTCTCCAACCACTCAGGAGCCCACCAGTAGTGCGACACACAAGGAGGGGAAAGTTAACCGCTCCACCTACCATTGTCGCTGGTCTCCAAGCTGCTCTGGGGCCTTTCTCCTTCCAGTTCTCCCCGGCAACTCCTTCCCCTGGAGTCTCCTGTATTTTCAAGTACCCTTCCTTCCAACCTTCAACTTATCTGTGTTTGTCTGCCTGTTTATTTTATTTTATTTTATTTCACTTTTTTCTAAAATCTGTCTTTCTTGCAGAGACACTCTGACTGGTAGTTTTTCTCCTCCGCCATCTTGCCCCTCCAGCATGAATATTTTGAATATATATTATTTTGAATATTTTGAACATACATTATTTCAGTCCCTTCTACATCTGTTCATCTAGTTTTATACAAACATATAAACATATAAAGACAAAGAGAAAGAGAAGAGAATATATTCGACTTAATTCAGAATTAAACTGTACCCAAAATCACGGAGCTCTGTTTTGAGTTATGTGTATTTTTCCATTAAAATTATCTAGAAGCTTATGAAATATTCTTTCAATCTTTGTAGAGTATGCCATCATCCTAATATACTGTTAATATATTTAATGATTTCCATATTATTAGACATTTAGGCCCCCCTTTTTTCCTATTATGAATAAACTTGATATGAACATGTTTCCATGATTACTGGGTCAAAATTTCTTCATTTCCTCAAGACTTTTGATACAAACCCATATTGATGAATTCGATTTCAAAAAAAATACTTACAATTTACATTTATGCCAAGTGCAAGCACATTAATTATACCTTTGCTAAAATAGTAATTATTTTTAAAACTTTGCCCCAAATTTTATAGTTGGAAAATTGTGTCTCCTTGTTTACATTTATATTTCTTTGATAGTTAATAAAGTTATCCTTTTGTGTGTTTATCAAATAATATCTATTTATCAAATAACATTGTATTATATTTGTTAATTATATATTATTTGCCCCACATTTCTATTAGGATATTAGTGCTTTCTTATTAATGTCATACTAGCTCATGTTTTATGGATATTAACCCTTGTTATGTTGTGTTTTTCAATTTTTGCCTTTAA